GGGGTTTATAGTAAGAATAAGACACCGTGTAAAAGTGCAAATTAAATAATAGGTATTCAATAAATTGTAGTTACTATTTTTGTTATAGTGTGAAAACATAACTAGATTTTCCTTATGGTGGTGGCTTTCAGACTTTGACCGCAACTAAGTATTTGTACTGTGACAAATGTGTATCTCACTCACATCCATAATTTAACGTGAACCAAAAGTTTTGCAAAACACTTACTATGTGCAACATATGCTGATATTTTCTATACTATTTTATTTCAGGTTTCCGAATGTTGATAATAACTCACTAGTAACTGATTTCGTTGATTGTTATCCTACCAATGGATCATCACCTTAAGTTTAAAAAATGCTGAACTCTGAATAGTAGACATCTAAGTATAGTATTTAAGCTTAACTCTGTTCTGGCTGTACTTTCAACTTGGTTTTGGCAATTTATCAATACTTGTTTTTCAGGCGGAAGCAAGAATAGAGAGAGAATAGGAAGAAAAGTTAAAATAGATCATACCCAATTACAATGAACATTATCTCAAAAAATATAAATCTTCTATAAAGTAAAAGTTATTTCCATGGGCCTCGTTAGTTTGCCTGAAATGCTTTCGGGACACTTTATATGTAGACTAAGTAATTGTACAGTCTACATTTTAACTTGTTTTGCTTAGATTAAACAATCTCCCAGAAAAATCAAAATTGGTGAGAAAAAAAAATTCACTCCACAAAATGAAAGAGCAATACATATATTTAAATAACTTCCAACTTTACTAAGTTTCCAAAAAACATTTCCTCACTTAGTAATTCACAAAAGTTTGAGGCCCACTCAGTTTTTTCTCCTAAATCATGTAGATTGCAACTATAATTTCCAGGAAGATATCAATTACCAAAAAAAAAAAAAAAAGTCTACTGCAGTGAAACCTAGAATGTCCTATGGAATTCTGTGTAATGAAATTTTACCTCTCTACCTTTAGGAAAAGGATCAACTTCAACGTCACAGATTATCAGATGACTTATTAATGCTAAAAACTAGTGGGCAGAAAAAAAATCTAAAAAGACTTTGAAAGTGATAAGACAAACAAAAAATATTGAGCTCTCAAGAAAGTAAAAAAGAATAAAAATCTCAGACTATTCAATCACCTTCCATAATAAGAGTAATAAGTCTTTTGAATCAAGGAAAAGTACTGACTGGATGGGCGGGGGTGGATATGATCTGAGTCCTTTGACACCTTAATATTGAAATAATGTTTGGTTCATGCTGTTAGCTTATTAGCAGATTGAATTAAGTAAGTAATCACCAATGATTAAAAGCCACAATGAAGAGGGGGCTGATTCTTAACAAAAGGAGTTGCCCTGGGTTTTCAAGCTAACTGCCATTATTAATAATTTGGGTAGAAAATATTCATATTTTGTGTGAGATAATGATTGCTCACTACTAGGTTATAGCACAACATACTAAGTGACTACCACTCAAAATGGCAAAATAAATGAGAATGCTAAACAAGGCTTAAATAATAATAAATAACAAATGAGAGTATTAAAGAAGGGTAGGGAGACATACATAAGTACAAAGAAAAACAATCTCTGCAGAAAAAAGAAAAATGAGGTTGTACAAATGAGAAGAAACAGATGTAAGGTTTCACTGTAGATCAAAGTAGCCAAATAGTGGTGATTTTAAAAGCATGTAGAAGAATATAAACAGGTAAGAAAATTAAAAAATTGAATATATAAGCTCCTGTCTTTTACTTAGCAGTGATTAGAAATGTAATTTAAATTGTGTTTAGTCCTATAACTTTAAAATTTTTTAGAAAGTAAAAAACTTAAGAAGAGTATCAAGTCCCCCTCAGAGTAAAAAGGGAGGAAGGTGGTCCTATATGATAAATGACGTCATGCAGCTTATAGTAATCACATTGGTAGTATAACATATTCTAGAGACTTAGAGGGTGCCAGTAACCATGCTAAAATCCACATTCACTAGAAAGGTCTGTATAAATGATAAAAATAGTTGTGGAGGCATTGTTTTTTCCTCCATACTCCCCAGAACAGTGTATTTGTGAGGGTTTCTTTGTAAAGAAGCAATTATAACAATGTATCTCAACATGACAAATGTATTCATGAAAAATTACTTCTAAACTAAACTTTTTTAAAAGTACCAAATATTTTAGTTAAAGAAACCTTGGGGTATATAACAAAGATAACTGTATTTGGATATCTGTAGTTTTACATA